AATGGAGCCAGATTGGGAGAGTGGGGCTGGAGAAGAGAAGCTGCTGGAGAGCTCAGAGCAGCTTCCAGGGTCTGAAGGGGGCTGCAAGGGTGCTGGAGATGGGACGTTCGTCAGGGACTGGAGTGATGGGACAAGGGGTGATGGGTTTAAACTGAAACAGGGGAAGTTCAGGAGAGAAAGAAGAAGTTCTGCACCACGAGGGGGCTGGGACACTGGGGTCGGATGAATGGAGAAGGTTTGGTTGTCCCATCCTTGGCCAGGTTGGATGGGGTTTGGAGCAACCTGCTCTAGTAGAACGTGTCCCTTCCAGGTTGGAACTGGATGAGTCTTTTCCAACCCAAACCATTCCACGAATCCACAATACACAGGGATTGGGGACACATCCATGGGTGTCACCATGGAAAAGGAGGGAAAGGGGGGACACACATGCCATGGACACGCACCCACATTCGGCATCACCTTCGCCTTCTCTGCTTCCAGCTCCGCCGTCAGGGCTGCAACTGATGGGGACACAGGGACATGGTCACCCTGTCACCATTGCCACAGCAGGGCTGGTGCGGAGGGGTGCTGAGAACCCAGAACCCCTCATAGGGACCCCCAACACCCCAATAATAGCAATTCCCAATAATAGGAAGCTCTTCCCTGTGAGGGTGCTGGGACACTGGGATGGGTTGAACAGAGAAGGTTTGGATGCCCCCATCCCTGGCAGTGTCCAAGGCCAGGTTGGAGCTACCTTCTCTAGTGGAAGGTGCCCCTGCCCATGGCAGGATGACCTTAAGCTCCTGTCCAACCCAACCCATTCCATGATTCCCATGGGGCTCCCCGATCCCTATGGAGCACCACTACTCACTGTGCCGCGCCCCGATGGTGAGGAAGAGGATGTTCATGAGCACCGAGACCCCCAGGGCCATGGTGACCACCAGCACCAGCTTCCCTTTGGAGCACCCCCCTGATGGAGCTGGGGACGGGGGGCAAGTGGCCTTTGGGCTTGGTGGTGATGGACTGGTCCATGCTGGCTCTGGTGCATGCTTCTGGCTTGGGGTGACCTCAAGGGGGTCCAGAGGCTCGTAAGGATTCTCCTCTGTGGGGCACAAGGTGCTGTGGGGCAGTGGGGTGGCATGTGGGGGGTCATCCCCTTCCCAGTGCCACCAGTATCCCCTGGAGCATGAGAATGGGGGATTCCTCCCATTGGGGACCAGGGGTGGGGGATCCTTCTGAGGTGTCCCTGTGGGCACCCAGGGTGGCAATTGGGGTCTCCATCAGTGCCAGCACCCCCCCTTAAAAAGACAAAGTGAGACCCCAAAAGGGACATTGGGGTGTCCATTAAGGACAATGGGGCTGCTGGGCTCCCCCCTACCCCACCCAGCACCCAAGGGTGCTCCCTACCTTCCCCGTCGCTGGGCCCCAGCACCCACTTTTGCCCCTGGTTGGGCTCCACGTTGCCGTACATGGTCCCTGTGGTGTCCTCAATGAGTGTCCCCACAGATAAACCCTGTGGGAAGTGGCTTGGGGGGGCCGGATGCACCCTTATCCCAAGAATGGGCCTCAAAGAGCCCCTCCCCTCCAGCACCCAGCGGCTCCCTCCTGCACCCCAAAGCTTGGCACAGCACCATGGGTGTTGGTGAAGCCACTGGTATCCCTGTCACCAGGGTGCACCCATAGCA